TTCCTATTTTAAAAAACATTTTTAACTTCTGTTCGTTTATTGTCTGTCCTCCTCTTTTGACTGTGAGCTTGTCCCTTGGCCCTGCACAGCCTCACGCCGCTGCTTGCTTGTTACACGTGGTCTTCATTTCAGTTACTACCTGGTGCTTATCAAGAAGTTTTTGGCACCTGATGCACGCAGGGCACAACTTACGCATTTTCAAGAGGACACACGAGGCTGAGATGGGGTCTGTTTACCAGTGTTTAGCAGATTTGAAAATTTAGTGCTCTGTGCAAAGGCAATTTAGGAGCTGAAAAATATTAAGGAAATACCAAGAAAGAACAGAGTACTATTTTTAGTACTTTATAGATAGATATAAGGCCATTGTGTCAATTTAGGAAAACCATATGTATTAGATTTTAGTTTCTTCATATGTTTGGCATGTTTGATACATAAAACGAAAAAAATAGAAATGTTTATTTTTTCTGCAGTGTGTGAGGGAACAGGAGTTTGAAGGTTGAGTGATTTGGGGAGAGGGCTATATTTCTGTGGAAATTTAATAAATTTTCTGGGTTTTTTTCCCCCCACCTATGGAGAAGAGCTAGGACACAAACATTAAATGTTAGTATTGATTCAAGAATTAAGTCACGAAAACATTGCTGAGGAAAATTAAAAATCTAAGTAAGTGAAGAGCTAGGTCATATTCGTGGGTTTAGAAGACTCGATTTTGTTAAGCTTGTCAGTTCTCACCAAACTGATATATAGATTTAATGCAGTCCCAATCAAAATTTGCTAAAATGGACAAGTGCATCTGAAACTCATATGGAAAGGAAAAGGAATTAGAACAGTCAAAACAACTTTGGCGAAGAAGAACAAAGAGAACTAACACTGCCTGACTACCAGAATTATTATAAAGCTACAGTAAGTCAGGACGGTGTTAGCATCAAGATCACCAAGTGGACCAGCCGGTCAGAGGAGAATGTTCATAAATAAACCCACTCATATTCGGCAGCTTATTTTTGACAGGTGCAAAGACAATGCAGTTGTTCTGGGACGATTGCATATCCATTCACATATTGTGGTTGGAACAATGGATATCCATATGCAAAAAGAACAAAGAAAATAACTTCAGGAGTGCTTGGGTGGTACAGTCAGTCTCTCATACCATACTCACAAATTAATTCAACATAGATCATCACCTAAATAGATCATAAACCTAAAACCTACAACTATAATACTTGTAGAGAGGAGGAGAAAACTCTTGTGATTTTGAGTTAGGCAAAGATCTTATTTTTTTTAAGAGTTTATTTATTTTAGAGAGAGAGGGCGAGAGGGAAAGAGAGTGCTTACAAGAAGGAGAGGAGCAGAGGGAGAGGGAGATAATCTCCAGCAGACTCCATGCTGAGTGCAGAGCCTGACAGGGTGGGAGTGGGGTGGGGGGGAAGGGGGGCTCGATCCCAAAACCCTGAGATCATGACCTGAGCTGAAACCAAGAGTCAGTCGCTTAACCAGTGGAGCCACCCAGGCACCCCTGAGTTAGGCAGAGATTTTAGATATAACATCAAAAGCATGATCCATGAAAGAACAAATTGATGAATTGGATGGACTTTATCAACATTAAAAGTTCTGTTTTTCAAAACACATTATTACGAGAATGAACATTATGATAAGCCACAGACTGGGATAAAATATTTATAAATCATAAATATATTGTAAATAATAAATCACAATTATGAAAATTCATAAATCATAAATCATCTGAGAAGGGGTTTGTATGCAGAATATATAAATAACTCTCAAAACTCAACAGTAAGAAAATAAACAGTTTTAAAAACAGGCAAAAGATTTGAACATATATTTCACCAAAAAAGATATGCATGGCAAATAAGCACACGAAAGATAGTCAACATCATTAGTCATTAGAAAAATGCAAATTAAAAGCACAGTGAGATACTACTATCTATGAGAATGGCTAAAATTAAACATTGACCACACCATGTGTTGATGAGGATGTGGAGTAACTGGGACTCTCACACACTCTAGTGAGAATGTAAAATGGTGCAACCACTTTGAAAAATAATTTGGCAGTTTCTTAAAAAGTTAAATGTATACATACCATGTGATCCAGTCATTCCCCTCAGGTATCAAAAAAAAAAAAAGTGAAGTTCATATGTACACAGATGTTCACAGCTGCTTCATCTGTAATAGCCACAAGTTGGAAACAACCCGTATGTCTGTCAACAGGCAAATAGATAAAAACAAAAACAACCTGTGGCACATCCATACCACAAAATGCTCTTTGGTAATAATATGAAGGAGTTAACTATTGATACATTGTAGCATGGATGAATCTTTTTGTAGTTGTACAGAGTAAAAGAAGCCAAATGAAAAAGTACATGCTGTGTGATTCCATTCATACACAGTTCTATGAAATGCAAACTAATGCACAGGGACAGGAGATCAGTGGTATAGGGGATGAGCAGATAAGGGGATCAAGGATGTGGAGGGTGATGGGAGGGATGGATTAAGAAATGAGCACAAGGGAACTTTGCAGGATGATGAATATATTCATCATTGTGGTGATGGTTTCATGGCTACATACATGTATCAAAATGTATCACATTTTACACTCTAAAAATTACATTTTATTCTTTCAGGGATCCCCTAAGACCAGCCATGTGTTTGGTGATTGACTGGGACACTTAGCACCCAGCATATAGTTGAACTTGTGGCTTAGATTTATGACAGTGACACAGTAAGGATACATAGCCAGCTCAGTGAGGGAACAAGACACCAGGAAGAAGGGTCTGGAGGAATCCATGTGTAGACTCCCTATGTTCTCTCCCTCCCACAAGGGGTCACACAAGCACATCTTCCCTCCAGCAGCAAAACTGTCACCCCAGGTATGCGATGCTTATGCCTGGGGAAACCCATGTAACGTTCAGAGTTCAGGGTTTTTTATGGTTTTTTATCGTCACGTAGGCACCTCCTGCCCGCCAATGTTTCAGATTCCCAAAAGGAAAACAGGTGTTCAGTGCCCCCAGGCAGACAAAACTTTATCAGAGTGGGGACTGTTTGAAAAGCCAGGTTCCCAGATGCCAGCCAAGGGCCAGCCTTATAAGCAAGTCTCTTAGACAGTAGTCTGAACTATGAACTCTTTTCTACAATTATACCTCAGTAGGACTTTTTAAAAATCCTCATATAAGTTAGTAGAAGCACAAGGCAATGGTGATTAATTTATTGAGAAAGTAATAGATTATAAAAATAATTCCAGATTTGTGGAAGACCAATACAGTGAGATCTTTGTTACCTGAACTGCTTCATGCCCTTAAATCTTTTTGGAGTGAGGTGGGAGATTAGTAAGTGAAATTGGAATGCCTGGGAAATGGCAGCTTCTAGTTATTTTTTATTCTTTAATGATAAGACTTTTCATTTGAGGAGCGCCTGGGTGGCTCAGTCCTTTAAGCATCTGCCTTCAGCTCTGGACATGATCCCGGGGTCCTGGAATCGAGCCCCTCATCAGGTCGGGCTCTCTGCTCAGCAGGGAGCCTGCTTCTCCCTCTCCCTCTGCCGTTCCCCCTGCTTGTGCTCTCTCTTGCTCTCTCTGTCAAATAAATAAATAAAATCTTAAAAATGAGACTTTTCATTTGAATTATATTTGAAAACATTTCCCAAGTATATAATTTTTCTTAAAAAAATCCTTGATTGATAATCATCATTTTAACCGTTGGTTAACTGATCATGACCCAGTTCTGGAGCAAATAAAAGGCAAAGCTTTGGTGTTGGGGTGGGGGGGGGAAGCTTTGGTGTTGAAATTGTCATTACAGCAGGCCCAGCAAATGCAGCTGGGTAGGTTACGCCCAAGGACACCCCCAGCTAAGGGGGTGAGTGGAGCTGACCTCAGCCTGTACTTTAATGTGGCCGAGCCACAGGCCCCTGCATACGTGTGTGCCCGAGAAAAGGGAAGCTTTAGTTTGCACAAAGGTGTCTTGTGGGCTGCTTCTGGTCCTGTTCGACACGTGTCTTAGAGGGTGGTGGTGGTGGTTTTCCCCCAAAATGCTGCCCCAGTATCAGCCAGCTCTGTTGTGAACATGTCTTTCCCCTTAAAGAAATCCAGCAAATCACTTGCAGTGGAGGGCTGTCTTTAACCAGGATTCCGCCAGGTGCTACGGTGTGTGCTGGGAGAGAGAAGGCCAGCTTCTGCAGCTGACCGCATGACGCGTTTCCCCCTCTAGCTGGGCCCAGTTTCCCTTGGAAGGCGGAACATAGGGTGCGTTTTTCTTTTTGTCTCTCTGGAGAATGCCTGGTATCTGTTCTATATCTGGATGCCATTAGTAACGCCCCAGCCTCTATTTCTGTGTCTGTATAAATAAAAAATTCATAGAAAGGCAACTCCCGTGGCTTCTCTGAGTGAAATTTTTGCTGTTACTGAGCAATCAAGTTTCCTAAAGGGAAGTCAACTCTCTCACTTCCAAAGATGCAAAGTTTGAAGATTCAACTTTGAAACAAATAAAAAAAAATTTTTTTTTTAAGATTTTATTTATTTATTTGAGAGAGAATGAGATCGAGCATGAGAGGGGGAGGGTCAGAGGGAGAAGCAGACTCCTTGCTGAGCAGGGAGCCTGACGTGGGACTCGATCCCGGGACTCCAGGATCATGACCTGAGCCGAAGGCAGTCGCTTAACCAACTGAGCCACCCAGGCGCCCTAGAAAATATTTTTGATAGTCACAACTTAGCTTCAATAAGTGATGTTCATATACTGACACCCACTTTATTTCTTTTAAGCCTGGAGCCGCCCAGCTGACCGCGACAGAGGGTGGCCGATGGTGTCCAGCATCTGTGCATCAGGCCACAGGCTGCCAGTAGGAGGGTTCTGTTCGGAACCTTCAGCTTCTGAAAATCTACGTCCCCCACCCCACCCCATCCACCCCATTTCTTCTGTGTGGTTCACATTTCTTTCCTCCCTTCAGGTTATTTTCCCTCAGGAAACTTAAACCACCTCTCTTTCCCCTTTTTATAGATGCGAACTACACGTAAAGTCTCTGTCTGGCCAGTGGGCCTGGTTGGTGGGCGACGCTATGAACGTCCGTTGGTGGAAAACGGCAAAGTCGTTGGCTGGTACACCGGCTGGAGAGCAGACAGGCCTTTTGCCATCGACATGGCAGGTGAGGAGTGTGGGTGGTGACTTTTGCTCCTCCCTGATTGTTCTCCCAGTGGTCCTGTTTGTTTTAACAGCGTCCTGGAGGAAGGAAGCTTTGAAGGACCCTAGATCCTATTACATTCAGCAGATAAACTAAGGAAACTTCAAGACAGGCTTTTTGATTAATTCAAGTAGAAATGGACTTTGTGGGTGATTAGAAATGCTCATTCTGTCCCATTTTTGTCAGCTCTCTATGTGGCCATTTCTTCAACAAGTGTGTGTGTGCCAGGTGCTTGTCTGGGTGTCCGGTCAGTGGTGGGAACCAGACTTGTCCCCTCCTCACCGGGGCTGCTGCCCGTGCCCTCTGATGCCCCTCTCTAGGAGTCCATTTGGTTTCGGTATATCACATGCTTATTGATAAGTGTAAGAATGATGTGAAATTGACAAGCTAATCATTTTAATGCTTAATAAATTCAGTGCTTATTGATATATTTAATAGCTGAAACATAAAATTGGATTTCTGGTTTTTCAGACATTAACTGAGTATAACTGTCTTTTAAAGTTTATATCCCTGGAGTACCTGGGTGGCTCAGTCAGTTAAGAGTCCAACACTTAATTTTGGCTGAGGTCATGATCTCAGGGTTGTGAAATTGAGCCTTGCGTCGGGCTCCGTGCTGGGCATGGAGTCTGCTTCAGATTCTCACTCTCTGCCCTCCCCCCCCCTAAAAAAATAGTTTTTATTCTCTGATCAACCCATTGAATTGAGTAAGACCAATAGTAGTCCACAAATCCTAAAATGTGTCACTTTATGGTAATGTTTTATATAAAACGATGCCTATGGTAACTGGAAGGATGCAGTTTAAAACATGAGGCTTAAAGGCAAGAAAAATCACTGATATTTATAACCTAGAAGATGGAGGCAGAAAAGCTTCAAGATTGATCTCCATCTTCAAGTCTGGAACACAGTTCTCTCTGTCTGTCTGTCTGTCCTCTTGTGCTTGGTCAGTCCTTTGTGTGTATTTCCCAACTTCAGTCAAAATCTCTATACTCAGAATTCTGATGGGATGAAGGCTGCATTCTGAACTGGAGTCATCACTTTTATTTTGACAATCCTATAAATTTGAGGGAGCAAGATTATGAAGAGTGCTAGGAGTAAGGCTGTGTCTTTTGAGAATCTGTTTATTGCCCAGAGGAAGTGTAACTTTGAGCAGAAAACTTTGAGGGCATTAGACAAAGTCTTTTGCTTCCCCGAGACTTAGCTTCCCCATGTGTGGAATGAGGTGTAGCCTGAATGACCACTGAGGTCTTCTCTGATGTGTTCTTCCTTCTCCTGGCTTCCGTCTTCTCTTCTTCAAAGAGAAGCCAGGTCCCGGTTCCTAAGTGAGGAGTTGAGACTGCTAAAGCTCAACTGCCAGTTAATAGGTGTTTGGTCCTTACCTCTCCCAGAGCCTTGCTTCACCACAGGCTCTGCAGACGTGTCTCCTTACACCCAGGATCTCTGCCTACAACCCTGCAAGATAGCTTCAAGGTGAGGACAACTTGAATAAGTCTTCCTGGATTTTGTTGTAAGAACTTTTACATAGATGATCAAGTATCCAGTAAACCCACTGAATATTTGCATTGATTCCCCCCAGAGTTTGGATCAAATAGATATATCCAAAACTCAAGAACGGCACATGGATTTTAGGCATTAGGCCTGGCCTGTGATAAGATATCTGATACCTTTTTACTGCTAAATTCCCTGGGAAACTTTGCTCTATGACATGACTGATGTTTGGCTTCTTCTAGTATATTTTCAGTATATTTTCAAAGCATAATGTAAGAACTATCAAAAAATATGAATGATTTGCCTAGTTCTTAATTATCCTTGTTTCAAAATAGGAATACAGTTTCTGTCTCTAAGAAAACAGGTTTTGCCACACTGAATGATTTTCTTCTTGTGGAAACTTGCTTTGCAAATTAGTTTTCAATAAATTATTAGTATTTTGGGAAGACTTTAAGTGAGAGCGATTTGGTTGACCAGGTGATGATTCTGATTTGGAGGGAGTTTGTTCTCGTTCTAAAATTTGAAAATTCACAGCTCTGTATACATTTCACACAAGGTTCATGTATTCTCTGTGGGAAGAGGGGAAAGACCTTGTGGACCTTCACGTACAAACGGTACTTCCCGCTTCATTTGCACTCACCGTGTCTAGAGGGAGAGAGAGAAGCCGGAAGCCCAGTTTCCTGCTGGCCTCTGGACAGTCGGGGAAGCGCTGCTCAGGAAACGGTCCTGGGAGTGGAGTGAGAGGCCAGCGCGGGAGCCTGGGCCTCTCTGGCCTTCCACAGGCTGAGTGAGAGCCGTGCCGCCTGGCCAGCAGGGCGCGTTTCCACAGCTGTCTCGCTGTGGGGGTGGCCAGCCCCTTCGCTGGAAGCCCCTCCGTCTGTCCCGCCTGGATTTCTGTGAAGTCACAGCCTCGCCCGTCACTCGAAGCTGATTTGAGTATCAAACCTTGGAACTGTAACGTTTCATGTCATTTGGGATGTTTGACCCCGTGTCCGTCTTTGTTTTGCCGTATTGGACTTGGAGGTGCTATTTTTGCTCTCAGATGAGGAACCATTGTTCTGGAATTACCTTGTAGGCACAGTGGTGTTAATGGCAGAAGTAAAGATTGTTTCTGTTGCACTGGGGGAAAGTTAAAAAACAACCCAAACTTTGGAGTGATGACTGCTGAAACAGAGAGATAAATAACTACCCCCAAGATGGCCCGGGAGCGAGCGCGTCAGAGGCGGCCCCCGCCCAGGCTGCACGCAGGGGGCTCTGCCAAGCCAGGGAGACCTAGAATACCGCTGCTGGTCTGAGCGTCCAGCTTCAGCTCCTACCCCTCGGGCATCTGACCCCTGGCTAGTTCTGACTGACTGCAGCAAGGCTCTCCACACAAAGTGTTTGGCTCGCTTTTGAAATCAGGGTGTTCTTTTCAAGCGACAGACTCACTTTGGCCACTTCCAGGGAGGTGTCAATAAGAACCATTGCTTGAAAGAACTGAGCTTAAAGTAATCTTGAGCCTCGCTCGCCAGGAGGTGTAGGTTTGTTCAAATTCAGAACTTGAGGCTGAGATCCCTACTTTGAATTCTCACTGTGTGCGTGCACTTTAATCTTAACTCTGAGAGGTGGCAGGCATGGGCTCTGTGCTCCTTTCAGGACAGTGTGTACAGTTCCCAGTTGAGTGCCCGGCGCACAGTAGGACCTCTATTCCAGTTAAAACCCCAGCTGGGTGGCTGTTGTTGAGCTCTGCCAGTAACCCCGCCAGGTAGCTCGGACCCCACAGGTTGGCACAGTCTGCACACAACTGCCCTTGTTTAGCCAGCAACACTTTGGGGGTCCCCAGGCCAACCGCACTCCCCACTAGCTGTAGATCTGTTGTTTTTCTCTCAGGTTTGACAGTTTACTAGAAGGACTCACAAAATTCAGGATAATGCTCTATTTATCATTACAATCCTTTTACAAAAGATACAAGTTAGGACCAGCCACATGAAGAAGACACCTGGGGTGAGTCCTGGTAGAGAACGCAGAGCTTGTGTGCAAGAAGATCTGTCCCCCTCCCAGCACATTAATGTGTTCATAGCCTGGGAAGCTCCACTGATCCTCTGCGTTCAGAGTTTTCAGATAGTTTCATTATGTAGGCACGATTGATTGAATCAGTGGCCACACAACTGAACCCAGTCTCCAGCTTCTATCCCCAGAGGTCGGCATGGCCCCCGCGTTCCAACCCTCTAATCCTGTGTTTGGTTTTTCCAGTAACCAGCCCTCCCTCTGGAGCTGTCTAGGGACCCGCTGCAGCCACCTCATTAGCATAACAAAGTCATTCCCATCCCTCAGGAAATGCTAAGGGTTTTACAAACTCCTTGCCAAGAACTAGGCACAAAGACCAGATAGATTTTTTTTTTTAATTATACCACAGGCTCAAAAATGGTAACTTGCATATCGTAAAGAAGAGTGTCTGCCACATCCCTGTTTTACAAATGCTTTCATGCACAAAAACAAAGGGTACATTAGGTGATGTCTCAGGGTCCCTTTCAGCTTTGTCTGTCCATGTTTTCCTGACTCATAAAAACGAGACGTGATTGTAAAGTGATGAAATCGTTTCTTGTGTGTGGGTTAGAGAGAGGGATGAGAAGTCTAGGAGGACTCTGAGTTTTCGGGCCTGGAGTCCTGTGGACATGGGTGTGTTGAAGCTCTGGAAATAGTTGAGCTCCCGGGATGGCATCCCAGGGCGCAGCCATTTCAAGTGGCTGCAGGGGACGGAGCCAGGGAAGGGAGCAGGGCCCAGGGGGAGGGCAGTCGGGTGGACCCATGGTGGAGGCAACCAGAGGGAAGAGGTGGGTGGGGCATGAATTTGTTGGCTGCCTTGTGTCATGGATGTGAAAGAGGATGGTGCTTGGTGAGTGTGGGAGTGTGAGAGCCGGGCATGTAGACGGTGTCATTAAGATGCTTGGCAATTAGGCTGTTCCCTGGAACAAGGGATATATGGGAGAATAGAGGGCCTGAATTCAAGAGGAGTAAACGGTTGGCAGAATTGTCCAAGGAAAGTTAGGTTTCCAGTACAGCAAAGAGGAAGGGGAAGTTCAGTCCATGAGAGGATTGGGAAGGTTCCATTTGGTCAGGACAGTGATTACAGAGGATGTCATGGAAGTAAGTAGCTGCGAGGGCTGCAAGGAGCTATGTGTAGGGAAGAGGACAGGTATCCCTCAAAATTTCAATGAATAAAGCATTCAGGACTAAGAATTTTGAAAATCAGAAGTTTTCCCTTCTGTCTGAGAAGCCCAGCCGACTTCATGATTATTGTTTACCGAGCATCAGGCATGTTTACCAGGCGTCAGGCATTCTTCGGTGCTCTGGGTGCTTTCTTATTTCATCTTCACTCAGTTCTGCAAGGGATGTGCTTGTATTCTCCTCCTCCTTTAAAGAGAAGGAAATGGAGGCCTGGACATGCGAAGTCACTTGCCCAAATTTGCACAGTGATCCAGCTCAGCTTAGTGGGTCTC